GGTGTCAATACTGAGACACAACCTAAACTGTTGGATGCCTGGACCCAGGAGAGGGTATATACATGCTATTGGTCAAAATTCAAATCTTAAAATTCTACCTTGCACTATTTCAGAATGTGACCTTATTTAGAAATGACCTTGTTTGCAGATGTAATTAGGGATTAGGGCCCCACCCTTATGAATTCAAATAACCTTCATTACTTCCATATAGGCCCTGTCTCCAAATACAGTCACCTCAAAGGTTAAGGCTTCAATGTGAAGATTTTAGGGATATACTATGCAACGCATAGCAACTCTGATCTCTGCCCTTGTGTTCACATGGAATTCTTCCAGTGTGTATGTCTATCTCTGTGTCCAAATAGTCTCCCTTTTATAAGGACTCCAGTTCTGCTGAATTATTGGTCCACTTTAATTTTAACTAATTACATCTGCAAACAACCTCATTTCTAAATACGGTCACATTCTGAAGTATTGCAAGGTAGAATTTTAACAGTTGAATTTTGACCCATAGAATATATATCCCTCTTCTGGTACCAGGACATCTAACTAGGTGGTGTCTTAGTAGTCACACCTCCATAATAGACCCTGAAACAAGACTTTGCATGCATGAAGTTATTTGGGAAAAACAAGAACTCTAGAAAGGACGTTGTTTGCAGAGTAGGAGAGTAGGGAAGAGGGCATGATTAAGTCAGCCTCCACAGTGGTCGCTTGGAGAATCCCACTAGTCCCATGGGGAAAATACGAACATTATCCCTCCAGGAAGGAAAAAGAACAGGGATATGTAAACACCAATTTCTTTGTCTGTTGGCGGCCAGTGGCTGTTGTGTTCTCTCTCTCACTCTCTCTTTTTCTTTCTTCATTGTTTGGTCTAGCCTTTCCCACTCTCCCTGGCGAGCATGCATATTCATGAGCAAAGACACAAATCACCTTCAGGCAGCACTTCTACTCCTGCTCCCTCTGAGTACTAATCTGGATTCCCACCAGTCTTCATTTTTCATGTTCAGGACAATACTTGGAAACATTCATGTTAAACAAGATTCTCTCCTCTCACATCTGGCATCATAAAATCATCCGTAGGGCAGCCCTACTTTGGATACCAAGCTATGTGTTCCCAGCTTAAGATCATACTCTGGGAACTGGCATGGAATCCCTCTACATTCTTTATCTGCCACTAAAATAGAAAAACAAGCATAACAGATGTGAAAAGTATAGACAATTCGCTTATTTACAGGATTTAGCAATCTTAATTTATATTTATGTCTTATCAGTGAACCCTTGCTAATAGAGATTCCATTTTTGCTCAAATTATTTTGGTCCTAGACGGTGACTTTGCAGGCCATATCTAAATGTCTTTTGGTTCCTAGAACATTTGGTCTGTGAACATGACTGTAATAAAAGCAAAACAAAATAATCAATCCCTAACCCTCTATCAAGCTTTAAATAGACACACCAAAAAGCACAAAGACAAGAGTCAGAATCACTAGCCCCTCGAAAATGTCATTCCCCAATTATTTCACCTTGTCAGGGCAATAATAACCATTAAGATTGACAAATGCCTGATGCAGGAATTGGCGGGAGGGAGTGGTGAATTTTGTCAACTGCTGCAAGTTTGAGTAAAATGAAAACAGAGAATTAGCCATTGGGTTTAGCAAAATGTAAGACATTAGAGATCATTATAGGAGGTCTTTCAGTGAAGTGGTAGAAAGAAAAACTTGATCGAGGTATATTGGGCAGAAAAGGGAAGTGAGAAAGTCAAAACAGTCAATATGAGCAGTTCTTTTGAGGAATGTAACTGTCAGGGGAGCAGAAAAATAATATTTGGAAAGGGGTATGAAGTCAAGGTCAAAAGCATGTACATATACAAACATGCACACACATACAATTTAAGGCATGTTTTTAAGCCAATAGAAATGATTTTGTAGACAACTGATGACTTTACAGGACAGAGGAGGGGTAACTGGGAATATTAGGTTGGTGCAAAAGTAATTGTAATTTTGCCATTACTTTCAATGGCAAAAACTGTAATTACTTTTGCACCCAATAATAGTTGAATAAAAAAGATTATTGGACAGGGATCCTTTGATAGAAGAGGAACCCCAAGGAAAGAAAAGGCAGATGGTGTTTGCAAATGCAGGTGGGAGTACGGGGTTGGTGGAAACAATTGTGATTGCATCTATTTTATTAATAAAAACAACTGATCCAGGGAGTGGGGGCAAAGGTGGGGAGTGAGAGAAAGAGAAGGGATTAGAGTTTTGATATGAAAGGTTGCATCTGTTTCCTTCCACCATAGCAAATTACCATAGGTTGGGAGGCTAAAAGCAATATAAATTTATTCTGTGACAGTTCTAGAAGCCAGAAATCCAAAATCAAGGTGTTGATAGGGCTACGTCCTCTCTGAAGACTCTGGGGGGAGAAGCATCTCTTGTCTCTCCCAGTCTTTGGTAGCTCCTGCCATCCCTTGGTTTGTGGCAACGTCTTTACATGGCATTCTTCCCTGGGCCTCTTTCCTATCTCTTATAAGGTCACCTGTCATTGTATATAGCACACCCCCTAAATGTAGGATCATTTCATTCTGAGATTCTTAACTGCACCTGCAAGAAGACCCAATTCGCAGGTACTGGGAGTTAGGACTTGGCCGTATTTTGGAGGACACCATTCAACCCACTATAGAGGTGGTATATCATAGTCATCTAGAAGAATCAGGAAAGTTATAGTAGAGAGACTATCTCGCAATGTCAAGGGTCCGTATGCACTTTTGATAATAATTTGAAATAAGACCATTCTACCTACTTGTGTGATTTTCCTTGGCAATATTCTGCTGCTTGAATGCCAACATGAACTAAGTGGGCAGTTAATATAACCAAAGTTGAAATTTTGTGAGGAGTGCATAATAAATAGAATGACCAGGATATTATGAACCCTGAATAGAAGTGGCTATGTAGTGTTGAACTATAGTGTAGTACATAAAATGTGAGGACAAGAGAAGAGAGATGAATTGTCAAAGTGTCAGTGGATTAGCGGTCATGATAAGGTTAAAAAGTAATTGAAATAGGGGGTGGGTGTTTGAATGAGAATGAGTAGAAACTAATGGTTAGTGGATAGGACGCTTAAAATTGAGATTTTGGAGATTAGGGTTTCTCAATCCTGGCTGCTCATTAATTCTGAATTAATTGTCTGGGGTAGGGCGCTGCAATTGGTATTATCCCAAGCATCATTCATGGACAATATATATGGCCATGGTCCTATGAACATGTATAAAGGCACTGTGGAGGAAATAATCAGTGGAGTTGAAATAAGAAACCAGAATATTACAAAGATCTCCTCAGTAGTAGGAGGAAATGTGAAAACCGCAGGGAATAGGGGATGATTATTGGGAGCAAGACCTGATGTAGGGACCTCAAAACAGTGGCTAACTCTCTGGGATAGTTTTTCATGGCAAGCAGAAGTACCACAAAGTCTGAAAGAGATGATCAGGTCTAAGAAAATCATCCTTCATATCATTATTTGCTATTTTACAATGGTACATATATTTAATAAAATGATCATTTTCTAGGGATTAACTTGACAAAAGAGCAGCTGGCTTATACCTTAGAATTATGCCAGGAATTACCAAACAATTCAGGAGACTCTGACCTGCCCCCCTCCTCCCAAGTTGCTTCTGTCAACCTGGAATAATCAAAAGGATCAGAATCCAGTTTTAAATAGTTTATTTGAGTGAAAACCTGGGGACTGGCATCCAGGAGACACAGACTCCAGATATATGAGGTCAGTGGCCCAAAGGCAAAAGCTAAGTTCTTGCTTACATAGGCAAAAACCAAAGATGTTTAGTAAGGTTATAACATTTTATATACAAGTCTGGTTTATGAGTTACAACAATTTAATTAGTTTGTTTTCTTTTCCATTGGGTTTACTTTCATGTTCTTTCTACAGTGAAAGTGTACTTAACATTCCATCTTAACATAGTGTGATAGCCATGAGGTCTTTGTGTGAGAAAGGTAAGAGGGAAGTTAATCTATAATGAAGATCAACGGTGAAGAGGGAAGGAGTCTTCCCTGGTGCCCTTTAGTCATTTACAGCATTTTACAAAACAACATAGGTAAGGAAGAAAGCTAATCTATAATCAGAGGAGCACGGATTACAGCTGCTGCTCAGGTTGCAGCTGCCTGCCATGTAACTCAGGCCTCATAATCACATTCCTTTAAAGCTCAAAGTAATTTAGAATTCCAACAGCTTAGGTGTTAAATTACTTATATTCACACTTAAAACCTCAGACCACTGCCAATACCTCCCTCTGTCCTCCAGAAGAGAGGACAAGGCCTATGCTGGATTGTTCATTATTATTGCCACTGCCTCACTCTGTGGCTGCCATTATCAGATGATCCTAAGAACCAACTCTTGGGCCTCTCCATTTATGCTGTCTTCTCTTCCTTAAACACTCCTTTACCTTTAAGAGATAGCCCGAGGTGGCTTCAAAGATAGCCCCCAAATTCTCTCTTAATCCCTCTCCCCTTGAGGTGGACTGGACTTAGTGATTTACTTCTATCAAGTATCTAAAGATGGAAATAATGGAATATCACTTTCAGGATAGAATTATAGAAAAATTTCAAGTGGGGCTCACACTGCCAATTTTATTTGCCTGTCAGCTCTGTTTGTTTTTAGGTATTCTTTTGCAGAATACAAGAGTGTTTTGGCAACAGTCATATGATATTAGAGCAGTCATACCTATATTCTTTAATCCAAATGAGCAAAGTGTCTGTTTTCAACAGGCTAAGTCATCAACTCTTCTCTGCCTCAGTACTACTTACTTTAATTATTTGTTTGTTATATATTCGTTTGTTTTCCCTAACATTCTCTTTGAATGTCAGTCATAAGCTATGCAAGGTCAAACACCACACTGTAAAATTTTCTTTTATGAAAGATATCAGTTGAGAATGCATCTTCATGGGAGGACAAGGTATGGAAGCTATACCTTGAAATATCGTTGCTTTGAATATTTTATATAGCATAAAATTGTGTTTTATTTATTTTAAATAGCTTTTGACAATAACAAGGCCAATTGTCTGTACAGAAGAAATACCCCAAATACAGTGTTTCTCCTAGAGATGGCTAATTTTTACATCTCATCACAAGTGTGCCTGAGTAGATGAAACAGAAGCATACCCATGTATAATAATCATGTGTTTCAGTTCCTCATTCTTGGTTGAATGAAGTGAGTATTTAGTTCAGTCTTGGGCAGTTGGTTTTGAGAGCCTCCATTAATTATGAAGTTCTTTATTTGTAAGGACAGAAGCCATTGCCTAGTTTTTCTTAAGCATTTTTCTTAGTAAAACTGTCTCTGTTCAAAAGACATCACATTTTATCATTCACCGAACATTAATTAATCTGGAGCATTAATAAAATAATGTCTTATATTTACATGGGTTCTTTATATTTACAAACATCTTTTCATGTCCTTTCTTCTTCGACCTCCCAACAGATGTGGATCTAAATATACAGCAGGCTCTTCTATTTCTATTTTTCAAATGAGGAAACAGAATCATAGTGAGGTTAAATGACTTGTTCAAATCCCACATTGAGTAACTTACGGCACCAGAAATTGAACAAGGACTTCTGAGGCCATGATGTGACTGATTGATGTCCTCATGCATTAAATCACCAGAAGGGAAGACTATCATTTACACATGAGTAAACTCAGGTCTGATAGTTTTTGTTACATATGCTCAAACCTTCTTTGGAACAGTCCTCATGCTCTATATTATATGAAAAGCACAGACAGAGACAGCCTCTCCTCCAGTATAACAATCTGTCTTTCATCACACTCATTTGTGTTTCACATGACTGAGTTTGCTGTTTAGGGAATCATCAGAGTACAATTCCAAATGGAGAAAAATCAGATAAAACCCAGTGTTCCTGGCTTTAGCCTCTGTGATTATTAACACAGTACTGTACTTACAGTAGGATGCCAGAGCGAATAGACACTGTTGCCTTTGAAAGGATGAGCATTCGTTCTGACCTAATAACTACCTGACGCTGGATACAATTATCTTTCTCCGAGTGGCACATTATTATTTGACACATTAATTGTTGTGTCATTTCTTTCTGAAAGGCATGTTGGGTGTGTAATACAAACCAGAGGCTTCATGAATTAGCCATGTCAGAGTGGTGCAGCACTAATTTACTTCTCCAAAATAAAATCACCCCAATCTCATCACCTGTTTTCAATTACCACAGGCAGACCCGAGCCGCCCTGTGACCTCCAGTGGTTTTTTTTCTGTACCTTGGCATATCTGATAACATCAGCAAGGGCCCCCTTACTCACTACAGCTATGAAAGGTCCCTCCTCTGAGGCAAACCACAGAGAGACATGGCTTTGCAGAATAGAACATCCTTTATGACAGAGTTTCTGCCCAGGAAGCATTGCACAAGAATATTAGCATGGTCTCCTTCCTCTGTGTCCGTCCATCTTGGTTTCTTTTCACTCTTATCTAGGAAGGGGCCTCCGTATGGAGGGCTGTTTCCAAAGCACAGAGACTCTATGGTCTTAGCAAGGCCCCAAGCCTTCAAGTCTGGATGATCTTCGTCCATTGCTGCAGCTGCTCTCTGGCATCCTGTGCAGGCTGATGGGCTGGCGGCCCTGGGTATGCCTCTGGGCCTGTCATCTGTTGTGTTGTTAGACCGCTGATGAGCTGTCGCTGCTTGCTTTTAGAGTCTGCACTTCTCTCTTTTCCAACTTTCCCTGCCACTAGACAATGAAAATCAAGCAGCCACACAGCCCTTTATCCCCTTCCAGATCCAACTGGTTGAGTCAGCCTTACAGCAGAAAACAGAGCCTTCCCATTGTCTTCCCAAACACATTGGGTGTGCCTGTTCTATGGCAAATTACTGTTTTAAAAAAGTGAGAATTAGAAGGCGTTTGATATTGCACATTTTGCTGCTCGTGAGTGCCATGCCACCCTGAAGACTCACCTCCCCTTTTGGTTCTAATCGGGTCCCTTTGTGTTGCTTTTTTCTCAGCTTGCACCTGTCCCTGACATATAACTGCTGCTGACTACCAAGTGAGTTGTTCAGTGAGCTAGAGGTATGATCAATTAAATATGATATGTATCACTGAATCCATCTTTGGCTGCTTCATGGTATATTATAATTTGGGAAGGGACTATTAAAATAAAATGTCGAGGAATAAGCAGAAACAGCCCACTGTTAACATGGCCAATGGCGAGAGAAAATTACAGGTTTCATTGTATATGTGGCACCATCTGCCTCTTTGCCGAGCCTGAGCCTTCGGCTTCCCCAGGGGAAATAGCTGTGGATAAGTTATTCAATTAGAACAGCATTATTGGCCGGCTACCTTGGAGAATAGGGTTGATGATGTTGTGATTATCCTCCTGTACATTCCTTCATGTCTCCGGCAGGCTGCAGTGCACGGCAACTTCCTTAAGTGTTTACTGAGCCCTACAGTAGAGGTGAACAATTGGAATGAAGAGTATCAAGGATTCCTGAAAGAAAATCAATTTTGAATGAACTTTTCTTGCTTAGCCACAGCTCCAGTATTCTGAGTCATACTGTATTTTCGTGGGCTTTCATTGAATTAAGTGACAGAAATGGCAATCGGGAGGAAAGTGAATTTCATGATATGCATTTAACCTATGGCACTGCACAAAATAATTCTTCATGCACAATTGTAAGATAAGAAAGTACTCAGGTCTCCACAACTGTGATATTAATCTTGGGGATGGGGAAATCTCATAGGAGCATAATGCTTTTTTAATGAAGACTTTAGCTGCTCTTCAAAAATATTTGTATCATAAAAAGTAATCATTATTTATGAGTCACTCTCTCAGGAAGTCAGTCCCTTCAAGGGTCATGCCATCAACCAAAAACTTCCTAAATGGGAGCTTTAGGGAATGTTCATTTTTATCTCTAGGATCCTATGGTTTGTAACTAGAAGACATAACAATATTCCTCTTGCCTCACTCAAATATTTGTAATATTTCCATATTTTAAAAAATTGTTGGTGCTTAAAATTGGACATATAGAAACATATTAAAATCTAAAACCATTTTCACATTTCTCATAAATATGTATATACACATCCAAGTATGCTCTGGTATGTCAGATATTTTCAGGGTGCATATGCACACCCCAGGGGCAGTTCAGGCAATCTTCTATGACTGTTAATTGGACAGGAATGCAAACGTGCTCCTCATCACTGGTTCAAATTCTGATGACTCTGGAAGGCATCTGTCTGTATTTCAGCTTTCATAAATTGGAAGAATTATGTTTAAATTCTTTGTCTTTGTGTGTGTATGCGTAGTGCTGATATTTTAAGATACTCATTTTTAACAGCTTCTTATACATAAGGTCATAAACCCTCTATGGCAAAAAGAGAATGTTTTCCCCACATGTCATTAATTTTCATTTAGTTGTTGATATTTCTGATATGCAAAAGTGTTATTTTGCAAGTGGTCAGGTCCACTTTTTCACTAGATTATATGTAGAAAGTCTTCACTTGAGATGTTAAAGATTTATTTATATTTTCTTGGTTTAAAGGTTGAAATGTACTTTCTTTTAACTAATCCATTAGATATGTAGGCATGTATGTTTGTTCGTGTCAATGTATGTATTTAGCATATAATGGTCTAAGATAAATGTATCTATGAGATCGGGCTATATTATCAAAAGCACTAGTATCTCAGTGTCTAAACACACATTTTTTTCTTGCTCATGTAAAGTCCCTGTGTGTCCCGAAAGCTTTTGGACAGATGCCCTTCACAACAACAACAACAACAACAACTAATTAAGAATTTGGACTGCGCTTTTACCTGTTTTAAGCCTTTACACTCAGTTTTTCAGAGTCCTTCAATCTTATGGCATCCCCGTCTCATCCCAAAGCTTTGGGTTCACTGTGAAAGAGGAGGAGAATGTGGGAAATCGGTTCATCAGTTCTCACGTACTTTGGGCCAGGAAATCATGCGTGGCCTCCTGATAGACACAGTTTGACTACGAGACCAGTCATCTAGCCCCAGCCTACTGAATAGAGGAGTGAAAAAGGAGAACTGGAAACACTGCTAAGGACTGGTAGTATCTGCCACAATTTACCCTTTTGTTTCTCCAGATATTCAGTGCAGTCTCCCTTTGGCACAGATATGTATGACAGTTATAACAACTCCAACTTCTCCTCTAAGAGAGATAACCCCAAGGACTTCCTCAGTTGTGGCATTGAGCTCAAAGCCCAGAATCCAAAATCTCCGAGTGATATAGTTGTGTCTCTGTATCCATGGGGGCTCGTGGCATTGAGCTGAAAGCCCAGAATCCAAAATCTCCGAGTGATATAGTTCTGTCTCTGTATCCATGGGGGCTCGTGGCATTGAGCTCAAAGCCCAGAATCCAAAATCTCCAAGTGATATAGTTGTGTCTCTGTATCCATGGGGGCTCGTGGCATTGAGCTGAAAGCCCAGAATCCAAAATCTCCGAGTGATATAGTTCTGTCTCTGTATCCATGGGGGCTCGTGGCATTGAGCTCAAAGCCCAGAATCCAAAATCTCTGAGTGATATAGTTGTGTCTCTGTATCTTGGTTCCAAGACCCTCACAGGTATCAAATCCAGAAATGCTCAAATCACTGATATAAAATGGTGCAGTATTTGCATATAACTTATACATATCCTTCTATATACTTAAATCATATTTATATGACTTGAAACACCTAATATAATGTAAATACTATGTAAATAGTTAATACTATATTGTTTTATTTATTTTTTATTGTTATATTGTTTTTATTGGGTTTTTAAAAAATATTTTTCATCCACAGTTGGTTGAATCATTGGAAACAAAGGGTTTACTGTATACTGTAATCTCTATTTCAAGTCTATAGGTGGCTCCCATAGCTTTGGAAACCTAGCAACTGAAATAACAAGTTATCTGTTATGCTTATAACAGACGTATATGCTTATACGTCTCATAATTGAAAAAGGAAACAGGAGTCCCTGTTCCTGAAAAATTCTGAATTCCTTCCAGGCAGACATTTTTTGAGCCCCCTACCGTTCATTAGGCCTGGACTCTGCTCTCCTGGAGGATCCAACGTGGTTCTTTGTCTCTGTGTCTTCTGTCTCCACCCTCAGGGAGATCATTTTTCCTTTCCTTTCTTCCTTCTTGGGCTCACATAAAATGGATCTTATAGCATATGAAGTGTTTTTTTTAACCTACTTTCTCCCCAGGGCCCGAGAGGTGTTTTAGCATGCTGCCCAGGGCAGCTTTGAAGGCAGCCCAACACAAATTTATAAACTTTCTGAAAAAATTATAAGGTGGGGCTTTTTTTTGTTTGTTTTTTGGTTTTGGTTTGGTTTTTGGTTTTTGGTTTTACTCATCAGCTATCACTAGAATTGGTGTATTTTATGTGTGGTCCAAGACAATTCTTGTTCTTCCAGTGTGGCCCAGGGAAGCCAAAAGATTGGACACCCATGTTTTAGACTCTCAAACACTTTTAGTGCAGGCTTACAGTTTCTTAAGCAATAGAACTCTCTTAAAACTTTGTTGGCTTTTCTAATCTATTGGATTCCAATTAATTCCAAGTGACAATACTTACAGCTATGACTCTTTACCTAACACACTTCCCACATCATCCATATTTCTTTACACTCTTGTGCCTACACCTTTCACAGCTTGAAGACCTGGTAGATATCTTGAGTCTATCTGGATTTGATGTGAGAATGGAACCCTTAAGCTCTTTTACCTGAGCTATTTTTCCAATTGAAAAGGTTACCGGGCCTCAGGCCCTTAGTTTGATCTTTACCCTAAGGCATTTTACGAATTAATTCCTTTCAATAAGTAAAAGTGCAGTCTAAATCATATTTTATTTTTGTTGTTTGTTTTTGTAATTGGCTCAGTGTTAAAGTCTTTTAACATTTTGCCTTTTACTATTTAGTGTTGAAAGCGATTACTGTTTCAACTCATTAAAGACCCCAAATATCTGACCTATTTCCTTTCATTCTTGCTAGCAAACAGATAATACTTTTCAGAACTGTTTTTCTTGTAATTCCTTAACAACCCATAGTGACCAGCATACATTAATACCTGCTTTGTGAATTCTCACACTAGAGACACACATTCATTGGGTATACATTCTGCCTCTCACATTATCAGATGAGAGTCTTACCAAATGAGTTCCCACAAAACTTGGAGCTCCATCTTCCTAGACACAGGTGTCTACAACAGAGGAAAGGGCATGGTGAATCATTCACTGGCTCCTGATTAATTAATCAGAGCTTGTTGATTAGAAAGTGACATGTAGCCATGCAAAACATAGTAAGTCCACAGAGAAAAAGAATATTAGAAATACTGGTAATATCTACGCAAAAAAACCTCTAACTTGTTTTTTCTTTTTTCTTTTCTATTTTTTAATTGCATTTTAGGTTTGGGGGTACATGTAAAGAACATGGAAGATGTTGCATAGGTACACACATGGCAGTGTGATTTGCTGCCTTCCTCCCCAACAGACCCCACTGTGTGATGATCCCCTCCCTGTGTCCATGTGTCTCATTGTTTAACACCCACCTATGAGTAAGAACATGCAGTGTTTGATTTTCTGCTCTTGTGTCAGTTTGCTGAGAATAATGGTTTCCAGGTTCATCCATGTCCCTACAAAGGACACTAACTCATCGTTTTTGATGGCTGCATAATATTCCATGGTGTATATGTGCCACATTTTCCCTGTCCAGTCTATCATCGATGGGCATTTGGGTTGGTTCCAGGTCTTTGCTATTGTAAACTGTGCTGCAATGAACATTAGTGTGCATGTGTCCTTATAGTAGAATGATTTTTAATCCTTTGGATATATATCCAGTAATGGGATTGCTTGGCCAAATGGAATTTCTTTTTTTTTTTTTTCTCTTTTTTTTTTTATTGCATTTTAGGTTTTGGGGTACATGTGATGAACATGCAAGATTGTTGCATAGGTACACACATGGCAGTGTGGTTTGCTGCCTTCCGTCCCCTCACCTGTATCTGTCATTTCTCCCCATGCTATCTCTTCCCACCTCCCCACCCCCCCGCCCCTCCCCCATTTCCCCGCAACGGACCCCAGTGTGTAGTGCTCCCCTCCCTGTGTCCATGTGTTCTCATTGTTCAACACCCGCCTATGAGTGAGAATATACGGTGTTTGATTTTCTGCTCTTGTGTCAGTTTGCTGAGAATGATGGTTTCCAGGTTCATCCATGTCCCTACAAAGGACGTGAACTCATCGTTTTTGATGGTTGTGTAATATTCCATGGTGTATATGTACCACATTTTCCCTATCCAGTCTATCATCGTTGGGCATTTGGGTTGGTTCCAGGTCTTTGCTATTGTAAACAGTGCTGCAATGAACATTCGTGTGCACGTGTCCTTGTAGTAGAATGATTTATAATCCTTTGGATATATACCCAGTAATGGGATTGCTGGGTCAAATGGGATTTCTATTTTTAGGTCCTTGAGGAATCGCCACACTGTCTTCCACAATGGTTGAATTAATTTACATTCCCACCAACAGTGTAAAAGTGTTCCTATTTCTCCACATCCTCTCCAGCATCTGTTGTTTCCTGATTTTTTAATGATCGCCATTCTAACTGGTGTGAGATGGTATCTCAATGTGGTTTTGATTTGCATTTCTCTGATGACCAGTGATGATGAGCATTTTTTCATATGTTTGTTGGCCTCCTGTATGTCTTCTTTTGTAAAGTATCTGTTCATATCCTT